CCCATGATTTGCCAATAGGGGAGATTTCATATCATCTATCCCTTCCACCTTATTTGATTATGTTCTAGTATTTGATATATATGATTTGGGTTTTGGTGGTAACCAACAATGTAACAGAGTCTCCTTTTGGCTACATTTGCTTTATTTTTGTTGTTTTTGAAGAAATAGTAAACCAAAATGATGAAAAAAACTAAACATCATTGTAGTTAACAAATATGAAATAACTTTTGGTGAGAAAAACATCAAAACTAAATTATATTGACTTGGGTGCTGGTGGCTCACACCAGTAATCCTAGCTACACAGGAGGCTGAAATCTGATGATTGAGGTTTGAAGACAGGTTTGGACAGACAAATCTGAGAAACTTTTCTCTCCTACTAATCATCAAAATGCCAGAAGTGGAGTGTGATTCAAGTGGTTAGACTGCCAGCCTTGAGCAAAAGAGCTAAGCAAGAGTGTGAGGCCATGAATTCAAGCACTTTTAGCAGAACACACAAAAATAAATAACTACACAAATAACTACACAAATACAAAAATATAATAGAACAAATAATGTTATACTCATGTTTATCATAATACTCTTCACAACAATCAAGCTGTGGAGTCAGTGCAGGTTGCCACCAGCAGGTAAATGGCTAAGAAAATCTGTGTGTGTGTGTATACATATATATGGTTTTCTTTTATCCATAAAAAGAATAAAAACCTGTTGTTGATGGGGAAATAAGTGGATCTAGAGAGTAACACAGAAAGACAGGTAGCATATCTTTTCTATCTTATGTAAAGCAAAAAACCAAAATAAAATAACAACAAAAACCCTGAAAGCTCCAGAGATATTCTTACAGAAAGGAAGGATAAATACAGAAAGCAATATGCACGTATAAAATAGTTGTAATAAAAGTGTTACATTTAACTCAATGCAGATATTAAACATATTCACAAGAACCTAACACTGTCTGAGGTGAATAATAATTATTGAGAGTAATAATAAGTCGTATAGTGATTCTTACCAGGCCACCACCAATCACAATGATTTTTTTCCTTTCTGCTTGAGACGAGTCCATAACTGGCCAAGGTGGGTCTTGCCTCTGTCACGTAAGGAACTCTCTTCTGCCCACTGACTTCTCGGGTCTTTTTATGCCAGAAGCTCAATGAGGGCCTATGAACCTGCAGCAATGTTTGGTCAAGGGCTATCTTCCTTTGTTACCATTTAACCCATTAGAAGCTCAAAGTACAACCAGCTCAGCTTTAAGCTAAAAAGAAAATGCATGGCAATAACCAAAGTTGGAAACTCCAATTAAGTGAAAACACTGGCTTGTGAGTAAGACACAGACTAAAACAAAACAAAATGGTCAGATGGCTTTTCTTCTTCTTCTTTTCCAGCATCAAGTAGTTTCATTCTCAGTCACGAAGGGCCATGAGACTTCCTCTTGTTGGAGGTCTCAGAGCAGCTCCTATTTCCATTAGAGAGCAAGGTGATACATTTGATCAACATAGTCATGGATTATTCTTATTATGAAGACCAACCAAGACTTGCCCCTAAAATATATATCTTTATGGATCTTCTTAAGCCTATGGAATTTTTTAGGGGAGTGGACAAATCTTAACTAATATTCTCTTGAGCAAGATTTTATGGTGTAACTGGCCATACTTCCTTTTTAAAATAGCATTGGTAGGTAAAACATTTAAAATCTCACCCATGATTTGCCAATAGGGGAGATTTCATATCATCTATCCCTTCCACCTTATTTGATTATGTTCTAGTATTTGATATATATGATTTGGGTTTTGTGTATATTTGAATTGTAGTTTTCTACAATATAATATGGTATAAAATAAGATTAAGATAAATAACAAGTAATAATAAAGAAAGAATAAAATTGTCAATGAAGATGTTTTTGTAGTAAGAACACAAAGAATTCAGAATGGTTTTTCAAGTAACCAGGAATTTTAATGTCATTCAACAGTGCCCTCTGGTGGATAGCTATGCTTAGAGTTGCTGAAACATTTTTTGTTGGGTATTTTCATTTATTTATTTTGAATATTCCTATGGTCTGATAATTAAGACATCAAATGGGATAGAGTGAATAGTAATTCTTCTATTTCTGTTTCTTTGAGAACTTAGTTTTCTTGCCCACAGTCAACCACTGGGCATCCTAGTTTTGTTTTTGTTTTGTGAGTGTGCTGGTACTGGGGTTCTGCCCATTAGTATTCTCATTCAGGCTTGCTCTCTATAATCTGAGCCACAGTTTCACTTCTTCTTTTTGTGGTTAACTGGAAATTACACTTTCATAGACTTTCTTGCCTAGGCTATCTCAGCTTTTGAGTAGCTAAGATTATATAAGTGAGTAGTTAGTTACTTGTGCTGGGCCTCTTTGACTCCCTTCCTCCTCTCTCCCTCCTTTCTTCCTTCCTTCTTCTCTCTGTCCTTTCTTTTAAAATATAAATGGGGGCATTTAAAAAAATTTTGGGGTCCGGTCGTGGGGCCTGAACTCTGGGCCTGGGTGCTGTCCGTCAGCTCTTCATTTCAAAGTTAGCACTCTACCACTTGAGCCACAGCGCCACTTCTGGCTTTTTTTTTTCCTGCTTATGTGGTGGTGAGGAATCGAACCCAGGGCCTCAAGCGTGCAAGGCGAGTGCTCTACCACTGAGTCACCTTCCCAGCCCAATGGTGGCAATTTTTATACTCATTTCCTCATCCTGTTATTTCCAAGATTAAGAAACATATATACAGGGCTGGGATTATACTCATTTCCTCATCCGTTATTTCCAAGATTAAGAAACATATATATAGGGCTGGGAAGGTGGCTCAGTGGTAGAGTGCTTGCCTTGCATGCATGAGGCCTTGGGTTCGATTCCTCAGCACCACATAAGCAAAAAAAAAACTTTCTAAAAACTTTATTAAGATGATTCGCTACAACATAAAAAGTTAAAGCACATAAAACACAAATGTTCAGATACAGAAAGGAACATCTCCAGTATCCCAGAAGTTGGCATGTCCATTTCCCAGCATTCCTCCTTCATAAAGGTCATACACATCACCTGATCACTTCCTTGCTTTCATTTATAATTGCACTACACTACAGCCATCTCCAACATAGTTTAGTCTTTCCTTCTTTTGACCTTTGCAACAAATGGACTCACTGTTTTCTTTTGCTTTAACCAATTGCTTCTTTTTCTTAATACTGTGCTTCTTAAGACTCATCTGCATTGTTGCATGTAACTCTGGTTCATTAATTTTCCTTGTCATTTTATTATTGATCCATGTTACTGCTTGTGGGCACCTGAATGCTTCCAGTGATTTAACATCCACCAAGTAATGATGCTATGAGCATTCTTGCATTTACAACAAAAATGCACATATGATTACCTCTAGCATTTATATGCTGGTTAGGCATTTTTTAACTTTATTAATTTAGTTGAAGTTATATTCTACAATAATGTACCAACTTTAGTTGCATGTGCACACACACACACACACACACACACACACACACGTGCCAACGATGACATTGGGGCTGAAGAATAGGGTGATGAGAATATATATATTCTCATAGATATATGTATATATATTCCCACATATATATTCTCATCACCCTATTCTTTCCACCCCAACCTCATCACCCTGGGTACTACTTGAATTTCTAGTTTTTGTCAGTCTGGTGAATATGGGGTATGTCTCTCTGGCTAATTTGCAATCCTTTGATTAATGAAGTTGAGATCCTTTATTCTTGTTTCTTGCTATTTATTTTGCTTGTACATAGACAATGTTCATGGGGGTGGGATTGGTTGTCTTTTTAAATTCTCATTGGATATGAGCTTTATTATTCATATATATTGTAAATAATTTCTTAGCTACTGTAGTTTGCCTTGCTTTTTTCCCCCAGTCCTGGAACTTGAACTCAGGGCCTGGGCACTATCCCTGAGCTCCTTTTGCTCAAGGCTAGCACTCTACCATGCCACTTCCAGCTTTTTCTATTTATGTGGTACTGAGGAATCGAACCCAGGGTTTCATGCATACTAGCCAAGTACTCTACCACTAAGCCATATTCCCAGCCCCTGACTTAATTTTTGATAAAAATATATTCTTCTTTTGATAAAAATATATTCTTGATTTTAATATATTCATATGTATCCATCTTCTTCTTTGGGATACTAGTTAACATGTCACACCTTACAATTATTTTCATAATCTTGAGAGTATAAAGATATTCATCTACGTTGTCTTTTAAGAATCAGTTAATTTATCCTTCATTTATAGGACGATATTTATATAGAGTTGGTTTTTAATGTATGCTGTGATGTAGAAGGTAAATTTGATTGTTTGCAAAGGAATACTAAGTAATTTCTAGTGCTACTAAGTGAAAACTTCTCCCTTTTCTACAAGTACTTTTGCCCCACGAGTATTTTTCACATGTGCAAGTCTGGGTCAGGTTTGCATTCTAGTTCATTCCAGTTTATCTTATATCCTAATCTATACCAATGCCAATGTAACAGCCAAATTGCCATAGCTTGAAAATAATCTTGGCTTTTGTGTGTGTGCAAGAGTGATGGTTTTTACATTTTATTTTTTTGCTGGGATGAGGGATTGAACTTTGTTCTCATTCACCTTGTTTGTTATGCTAGCTAGTACTCTACTACTTGAACCATGCTTCCAGTCCTGCACTTTGCTAGTTATTTCAGAGATGGAGTCTCACTTCAGACTGTTCTGCCCAGGCTGACTTTGAACATGAATTTTCTGGATCTCTACCTCCTGACTAGCTAGGATTACAGGCATTAGCTGCAGACCCATCTAATCTCTGATATCCTAATCAACTTGTCTACCTTGGTCTATAGTAGTTTCTTGATTATTTGTTGTCCTGTTCATTTTCTCTAAGTTTTAAAATAAGTTTGTTAATTACATACCAAATGAATAAATAAAACCAAGAAACAAACTTTCAGGATTTTGTTTTTGGTAGGGGAAGTTTCTTTGAATTTACAGCTGTAGTTAGAAAGAATAATATTTTTAATCTGAGTTTTACAGTCCCTGAAGACAACATTATTGGTAAAAAAAAAAAAAAGAATCTTTTACTTTGATCAATTCTGACATACTTTCAGTCACTATCTTTCCAAATATTGTTTATTTTTATATTGTTTATCCTTTTATCTGTATTTTTATCTTGTGTTGTGCTTCAATTATGGAGAGTTTCTGTTTATGTATGATTGAGTTTACAAACTCTGTTTTCTTCTCTGCTATTTACTTGTTTAGTGAGTTTAGTTAGTTCATTTTATTTTTTTTTTTGAGATAGACCTTCTTTCATAATCCAGAGTGGTCTCAAACTTTAGTCTCCTGAGTGCCAAGATTATACATGTGCCCAGCTAGTACTTTATTTCATTATATAATCTATTGGGAGTCATCTCACAAATGACTTAGAAAATGGCTGAAGGGTGTAGCTCAATGGTAGAGCACTTGTGTTGTATTCAATACCTCTGGATTCAATCCATCACCACAAATAAATAAATAAATCTAGATGAACTGATGTTCTGATATTGAAGTTGACCATCAAATGTTAATAATTAATGTATATCTAGATTATTTATGAAGTGGGTTAAATAATCATTATTTGCTATTTATTGGCCTAAATAAATCACATATCAAACAAATACTTGAAATAAGAGATTAATAATGAATCATGCAGTTCTGTACAACTTGTAAACAATATGTCAATCTGTAAGATAAGATTGCTATCACTTTGGTAAGAAGTCCTGACTGCTTTTATTTTTCTTTGTACCAGTCATGGAGCTTTAACTCAGGGCCTGCACACAGTTCCAGCATTTTTGCTCAAGGATAACACTCTATCACTTGAGCACAGCTCCACTACTGGTTTTTAGGTAGTTAATTCAAGAAAGAAGTCTCACAGACTTTCCAACTTGGGCTGGTTTGATCCTGAATCCTCAGCTCTCAGTTTCCAAGAAACTAGGATTACTGGTGTGAACCACCAGAACCCGGCTCTTCGGTTCACTCTTACAATAGATAAATTTATTTTGTATTCTTATCTCTTATGATTTCCCCAATTTCAGTAAAACATTTCTTCAGAGGTGACATTTTTCATATCTTATGTTGCTTTTTTTTTGGACAGCTCAAATCTAAGTAAACTTGAATTAATAAAAAGGCTACATTCTATAATAACACATAAATCCTTTGGCTTTGATATGCTTTGGGAAGGAAAAGGAGTTAACTCCTCTTTGTGGTGTGTGTGTGTGTGTGTGTGTGTGTGTGTGTGTGTATGTTTCAGTCCTGGGGCTTGAACTCAGGTCTTAATTGTTGTCCCAGAAGTTTTTTACTCAAGGTTATTGCT